TCAGTACACAAAGCCCTAACAATACAGAATACAAGAAGATCAGTACAAAAAGTGTTAACAACGCCGCCTGTGACACCAGAATATAGACGATCATTACAAAAAGCTCTAACAACGACGTCTGTTAGGCCAGAATACAAGATAATCAGTAAAAAAGCATCTACAACGACGGCAGAAGTATTTCAGCCATATCGTGACTATATCAAGTAATATATTTATAATTACAGGTAAATTATAAAAACCTGTCCGTGAAGGACAGTAATTAACCAGTTTATCACAGATATAATTGTTAAAGTACTAATTAAATTTCAAACATTTTAACTATGCAAGACGATACAATATAAAAACAGGCTATATATCGACAACAACTGAAGGTACAACCAGAAATTATTGAGAATTTAAAGATTGTAATTTAATATTTTTTTCATTCATTACTCACGTATTAAATGTGAATATTAGCAGAACATAACTCCAGATTCAAAGACAGGTGAACAGTTAGTGTTTTGTCAAGTCACCATGGGCAGCAATGCAGGCTTCATGCGGCGGGGCATACTACTGATCAAAGAAGTTAGAAAGTCGTGGTTCATGCTGTCCCAATATCGGACCACCTCTTCTTTCATTTCAGCAATATTTGTCAGATTTTTCTTATTGACACTTTCCTTCACAAGTCCCCAAACATTTTCTACTGGATTTAGGTTAGGCCAATCTAATAATGTTCAACCTTCGCTCCTTTTGTTCAGGTTTCATGATCGGTGATGGAATTCCTCGACTTTTCTGCATACCCATTGCATGCGGCTCAGTTCCAACTGTCTCTTTACAGACAGTTCCTCTATCAATCATATCCAGCCTTAAGTTTTCTAAACTTCTTCGTTTGTTTTTAGAAACAAGAATACCATGCCGCCTCCTGTCACCGACAGTCAATTTTCTGGGCCTACCTGCGCCTCCCTGGTGCTCAGTGCCATATCCATTTGCAATATTTTTCAAAACACGATAAACAGTCGACAAAGGGATGCCTGTTCTACTTGAAATCACTTTATCTGATCTGATGTCCTTGTTATAATACTCTAAAATCAACTTCCCCTTCTCTAAATCATCCATGCTGAGGATCACTATAAATGTAAACAAAGGGGGATAACTCTTCACAAACTAATGAAAAGGTTTAACGGAGTTGTCTCTCTTGAATGAAACCACGCACTTGATAGCTAGTCAAGGTTGTTTATACTAGAAATCCAATTAAACATATTCCTAAAATTCTCAATTATGTCTGGTCATACTATATATCACCATACTTGGCACCATGGGGACAGTACATTTGCTACCTGCATGGACCCTAGCTGGATTTACATCATTCCTTCAGCCATTGGCTATTGTAGTCAGATTTAGCCATAATTTTAATCTATAAAAATGCTACGTTTAAAGAATTTGGCAAGTGTAAATTTACTGAATGTTTTGGGGACTTACGTATCATCACAGGGGGACAATAATGTTACAGTACTTCAACTCCCTTTGAGGATATATACAGCCACTAAGAACCGCAGTTGCTAATATATATTGCCATTTATAACAAAATTTTATTTATCTATTTACAAAACATATTGTTGAAGATTTATCTAATAATTCTATTTCCTAATTAAAAGGAGATGTTTACATATAAGATTTTTAAGAGCCTGAAGGCACGAAAGAGTGTCAGAAAATATGATACATTGTTTATTTTGAGGATGTCTATGAATATATTTAAGTGCTGTTAGTATTGCATTTGCTTCTGCTGTGAAAATTAAGCTGTTATTTGGTAATCGAGAAGATATTGTTCTGGATCCAATGACAGTGGCACAAGCCACCGCTCCACCATCCTTGGACCCATCTGTAAATAAGGATGTGTATGTATTATATGTACGTTTTAATTGATTAAATTCTTGTTTATATTGTAATTCATTAGTTTTGGATTTCTTAAATGTTGTTAACGGTAGTCAACTTGCCAAGGAGGAGATGGAATAAGACGGGAAGGAGATATATTTTCCAGCTTTGACATTTCACTGTCAAAACATCCTTTTCGTACATACAGGAAGGACACGATTTTGACGTTGCTTCATGCTGACCCTTACAGTTGCGCACTTGAGAACTGTAATACAACTAGAGCCTTCATGACTGCCTCTACAGCGATCGCATACCAGACATGTCCAAATTTCTGACAATTGTAACATCGGAGTGGATTGGGGACATATACCTCCATTCCCATATTCAAATAGCCTGCTTTTATGGATTTGGGGACAGCAGTCAACGCAAATGTCAACAGATATGTATTTGTCGCGGTGGTTGAGCGAGTTAGGCGGCTGACAGTGTGTACTGACGATTAGGTACCTGACCCTGAGGGTGTGGGTTCGAATCCCGAATGGGACTCAACCCAACAAAAGTACTGGAATTTGTACTTAACGAAGAAAGTGTAATCCCAAATATAACATATGTTACATTTGACCACTTTCTAAATGACATTGTGTAATCATTTTATATTTACTGTCCGGGATATTATCACATCCTAATATATGAGATGTAATCCGACTGGAGAACAATGGGATAAAAATAGTTTCAGGGGTTCAGTAAACTTCGTTTGTAACGAAATGAAATAAACAAACTAATTGTAGTTCGTTATATCCATCAGTTCGTTATGAGCGGGTTCGATATGAACGTTTACTGTACGTGGCTTTTCAAAATGTACATTTTCTGAAGGGAGCCACAACATTTTTAGCACATATGTAGATCCGTTATAAGCCAAGGACTGTTAAGTATTATTGAATGCACACAGTCTTATAATGGTGGTGGCCTTTCTACAAGACATGGCCACGCAAGAAAGAGCTATAACACGATTACGTTTTTATCAATTCGAAATAATCAACAGATCGCTTTCAACTCACTATTGCCTTGTCCACGTGTAGCCAGGTCCGTGTTATAATACACCATGACTTGTGAAATACTGATGTAACTAATTACCCAACTAAAACTATGTGGCTTGGGAAGTGTCTGGTTTACTGTCCACTGTTTTAAGCTTCAGCTGCTGTGCCATACATCTTCATGAGCTTGATCAAGCTTGGTGAGTATACAAATCATACGGACTGTTAAAAGACATACATTGGGACCTACGCATTTGTATTAGTTTAAGGGCATTGACGTTTTTGTATGTTTCAGGACATTGAGGGTAATTTATGTCCGTCTTAGGGCACTGAAGGATAAGTCTCAGGTTATCAAGAGCCGGTTGTATTTGTTTCATGGCAGTGATGACTACTTGTATGTGTATTTGTGGCAGGATAGCTGAGAGACATATTGTGCCAGTGTCGGGACTTAGAACGCCACCGTGAAGAGGTGGCCATCACAGCGAAGGCTAAAATATATATTTCGGATGTCTCAAGAGAGCTAATTTTCAATTGGGCAGGGCAGTACCGCCGAGGCTGAAAATACGATGAATAATTACCGGGAAGCATTGTAGCAACCCACTTTGTAATAACAACGCACTATGTAATTCAAAGTCCAAAACAATTTCGCACTTAGACGATTTTATTACATGACGGATTATTACAAACTGGGTTACTCTAGTAGCAACCCACTATGTAGCAACAACGCACTATGTAATAAAATCTTCAAAGTCCAAAAACATTTCGGACTTAGGCGATTTTATTACAAAGTAACTTTGGCGTAAGCCTAGAAAATGAAGTTGAAGATATTCCTTCCGGTGAGAACAATATGTGTTCTACACCCTTAACTAAGCGTAAATGCAAGCTTAAGCCCGTTCCATGATATGAACTGTTATCATTTCTGAGTTTTCTGATAGTTTATTACAAAACGCGTTGGTATTACATACCGGGTTGATTAGCGAAATGTAATAAGATTTTGCACATCTTAACGCATTATGTAATAAAACTTACAAAGTGTCTAACGTCACCCGTAAGCCTAAAAAATGATTGAAAATCAACTTCCGCCCTATCCAGTTAATTGCCTATTGTGACAGGTACAACAAGTGGGGTTTGCCGTGGATCCATTCCACCCCGTATCCGCTCGGGTATGTTGGTAGGTTTGTGTATTAGTACCTGTGTGTATGTATTTGTGTTTACGTATTGAAGAATGTTGGCCATATATGTGTTGTGGCTCACCCGTAAAGTTCACTAAACCCATACTGCTGTACACAATAGAACTTACCAGCTTGCAATATTCTCAGTTAGTAAAAGCCTACCGACCGCGGCAAGATCGAGAACTCTGCCACGGAGGATTTTTATATATTTGTTAAAATATCGAGAGAATTTTTTTTTTTTTTCTTTTTTTAAATAGTATTTTATAATATGTTATAATAGCAGCTACGGATATGTTTTCAAGATATGTGATAAAGGATCTGATTTAATGTTAATGTTAATGTTTTCAAAGCTTGGACGACATTGGGGACGGGTCTGTTTAGATAACATCTTCCTTCATTTTATTTTTATCTTTGTTGCATTTAACGCCCTTTCCAACCGGATTTAAGTTATATAAAGGCGGTCAGATATCCTTACACTGTTCCTGGAATTCCTAACCAGTACTATACCATTCTTTCCCACATAAACGAGAGGTGGAAAGCGAAATATTATGTCTTTGTTTGTTGAATTTTACTGCGCACCGACACCGAAAAGGTCATATAGCGCCGACTGTGTTATATAAATGATCTTATCAATTGTTCGGAAAGAGGTAAGCTCTAAATGAAATGAAAACATCTAGAACTCTTCAAGTACTGTTTATTTAATAACTAGATACATTTAATGGGAGGGGCAAAAGTTAATTGTGGGGCCTAAAACGGTCGCTAGGGACCCAGAGATCAAGGGGTCCGAACTCACTCGTCAACAGAGACTAACAGACATATAACGAAGGACATAGCAAGACCTGTTTGGCCGCACAGAGCTTACCCCGTATACAGCTTACGAATGAGCTCTATGAGAGTATAAATCCGTATACAGCTTACACCGCATACAGCTCACCGTAAGTTGTATATGTCAAGATGCGTCCTGAAAGATGATAATGATTATGATGTTGACGACGACGACGACCTCCACCACCGTCACCAACAACCACCACCCACACTACCATCACCACCGACCGACACCAGCCATCACCTACCAACATCACCACCCACAACCTCCGACCACCACCACCGACCATCACCCACCAACATCACCACCCACAACCTCCGACCACCACCACCGACCATCCGACCACACCAATCATCACCACCCATTACAACCTCCGACCACCACCACCGACCACCACCACCCACCAACATCACCACCCACAACCTCCGACCACCACCACCGACCATCACCCACCAACATCACCACCCACAACCTCCGACCACCACCACCGACCATCACCCACCAACATCACCACCCACAACCTCCGACCACCACCACCGACCATCACCCACCAACATCACCACCCACAACCTCCGACCACCACCACCGACCATCACCCACCAACATCACCACCCACAACCTCCGACCACCACCACCGACCATCACCCACCAACATCACCACCCACAATCTCCGACCACCACCACCGACCACCACCAACCATCATCCACAAACATCACCACCCACCAGCACCCACTACCTGATAGGTGTTAAGTTCAAATTGCATGTGGTCAGTGATCGAAGTTGTGTATTGAATATTGTCATTAGCAGACGGGCAGGCAGACACATAGGTGTCAAGAAAACAGAAATTTTGTTTTGTCTGTGACAACGATATATCTATATCACAGTTAGAAATTCTGTCAACGCTAAATAACGACATTGCTTTTAAGTATCGAACTGAAAAAGTGACTCGGTAAGAAGAACGTGTGGTGAAATAGACAAATGAAATTATATAAACAGTTAAATCGGTAATCTACTGTAATAACATATAAAAAGCTCGCGCCTCTGAAATATCAACAAAACATTAGAAAAATAGATCACAACCAAGGCCTTCACCGAGTATTCACCGGACAACCCGCTTCCAAGCTGCGCGAACTTATCTCACTGCGCATGTGCTATGAGCGCAGCCCAGCTGTTGAAACCAATTCCATTCCCCCAAGCGCTGGGGGAAAATTAGTGAATCGTTAAAACTACGGTTTTTGCGCGGTTTTTTTCATCGCGTTATTTATCAACTTTATAAGTTGATTTTGCATTTTTGATGATTTGTTTCGATAAATCCATACCGAAAGGTATCAGAATCTGCAAAGTTGTGTTTTACTTTGCATGTGACCTAGTTTACACTAGTTAAGGGTGTAGAACACATATTGTCCTCACCGGCAGGAATATCTTCAACTTTGATTTTCAGTCATTTTCCAGGCTTACGCAAAAGTACCAACGTGCTTTGTAATAAACTCGCCTAAGTCTGAAATGTTAAATGAAGATTTTATTACATAGTGCGTTGTTATTACATAGTGGGTTGCTACAAAGCATAATCCATGTCGGGAGTAGAGAGATTTCTTTTCAAACCATTGTTATGATAGAGTATTATCTTGTTCGCTTGTTTAGAACTGTATTTAAGTAGCGTATGTATTTAAGATGTATTTAATTAGAAAAACACACAAGAGCACCTAAGTTGTAAACTGACTGTTCATGTGCGAAACAGCGCTTTATTTCTTGCGCGAACCATAGACTAGACCAGTCTGGTGTTATATTTCTTGCGCAATCTATAAAGACCAATCCAGTGATCAACAGCATGAGCATCGATCTGCGCAGTTCGGAACCGATGACATGTGTCAACCAAGTCAGCGAGCCTGACCACCCGATCCCGTTAGTGGCCTCTTACGACAAGCATGGGTTATTGAAGTTCAATATTCTAACCCGGGCCTTCATGGGTATTTTTCCAACCAAGTGTAAACGTGGAGAAAAAGCCTAGAGCAAAATATTAGGGTAGTGAGCACCTTGGGTTCAGGTGCAAGTGCGTGTGAACGCTGGGTATCAGGCATAATATAATAATAATAAATGCATATTTATAGTGCGCCTATTCCACATCCTTGGGCATGCTCAAAGCGCTTTGTACAGATAATTTACACGAGAGTATTTACAGCCGAGATTATAAGTAATATACTGAGAACAGGTTTCAAGTCTGGACTTTAAAAATGTCAATTGTGTCAGAGCTTTTAATATGTGCCTTAACCTTGTCAATCAGAATAAACTAGGCGTGACGAGGCATCCTCTATAACGTATGTAGAATCTGTCAGTGGTTTTGAATAACACGCGGCCTGCCTTTAGAATCCCCCACCAAATAAGCTCACGTGAAATCAAACATATTTGTATCTTTTTGTTTCAGAACATTGTTCACTTCATGACCCGTCCCTATTCTTAACCATGACGTTGCAATATTGTTGTACAAATGTGTTACACCGACACGCTCGGTTGTGTTCCCATGACGACAGTGGTCAGACTGGCCTGACATTTGTAGGGCTTCAGTGCAGTGTTTGTTTACATCACAGAAATATACAAATTCATTTCATGGGGGATTTTAGGGGACGCTCACGGTGAAATTGCTCGCTCTTATTTTTCCCATAGAATAGGAAAGCCACCATTTTGGTTTCTCTACGATTGATTTTAGCTATCTTAAGTTGGTCATGAGCAACTTAGACTTTGAATCTTAACTTTACGACTGACTTAGGTAAGATTGATTAGTGGAACGGTATGCCGATCGTAACGTCACGCTAAGATTGGGATTTTAAGGGTTTACGATTGGCATAGGGCTAAGATCGGTTAGTGGAACGGCACCCAGCACTTTTATCCGGTTTGGGCCAGCTTTATGAGTTTCAGGTTTCAGGCGGCGTGGCCGAACGGCATTTACGGTATTTGGAAACATCACTTAGGAACATTGGACGTACACAGCAACGAGCGAGTACCTATTAAGTTTATATTTTGTATTTTCATGTAAATCTAGGTCAAGCAATTGTAAGTATGTTATTGTAATCTACGAAGTAGCCGTGTTCAGCTTTCCATCAGGCATAATTCATGTACAGGATTTTACGGCGTATGTTACCTTAGACTTCTATCACAGCATGTGTATTTTACGACCTTTATGATTAAGGAATTGAAAAAACACAGTAAGTACTTTTGTGTGTGATTTAGGTATAAATGTGTCAAGCTTTCATGTTCAAGTATTCAGATGAAGCGCTCAAAACATTAACGAGTTGTACCTGTAGTATAATTAGCATGTCCAGGCTATTTTTTAAAATGACTAGATTAATATTTCTTTCTGTATTGTATCATTCATGCATGCCTCAGGAAAGCAAAACACTTTACTTTTTTTAAATAGGTTCAGTGAAACAAAAAATACAGCCATTTCTTTACCTCAACCGGCCACGCCCACTTTTTCCATCCTGATCCAATTTTTGAGAAAACATGTCCAAGGTCGATATATTTTTAATTAAGGTGGAAAATGATAAAACATAAAAATCACAAATATGGTACATGTTCGTTCTCTTTATTACAGCTTTCAAATTGCCCCCGAAATGTGGGCAATAATTTTAAAAGTGTCAAAATGTTTGGTAATAATACAACATAATCTTAACATATTTGTGATTGTAATCATTTTCATTGCAATATTCATAACATAAAACAATATTCTTCACCTGAGTTTTATGGAGAATGAATTGAGGTGTGGAAACCATCTTTCAACTACCATTTTTATGCAAAAAGATTTTTTTATATGAAACAAAAGATATTTCAAAGACAAGCAAAAGATCACAATAGATTTTTCCCCATAGTGTAGATATCACTTACAACTGGAATGGCTAATGCTATATTTATTGAACAATCTTTATCTGTGTTTATTGTAAATGGATTATTATGAACAAACAAAAATAATAAACATTTAATGGGACGGAATGACTCAAGCTGTGAATGATTAACCCTTAAGACTGTGGTAGATATCTACAGTTAAAAACATTACACAAGAACATAATTATTGCCATATATAACAAATATAGAGCACGATAAGGCATCGTGAGAAATTTTGTAAAATATTTCCAAAAGTGATGTTAGATGATATCTACATTTGTCATCTCAATGATGTTTAAGCAACTACGCTAAATGATAACACAATCCATATTAATGCATTTGGTGTAACTTCTGTATATCTTCTGATTTCTGAGGTACATCACTGAGTCAATGGCCCTGAAAGAAGGAAAAAGAAAACCATGAATAATTATGTTTTTTTTCATGTGTTAAAGAAAAACATGTATTTCTTTTATTGCAGACAGAATTTTATTTAATCTTAATTTGATTTTGCATAAATAAATATTCCAGGTATTTTCAGAAAAATTGTTTTAGGAGTTTGTTTGCGTTTGAAAAATGAAATTACATTATCTTTAGCATGATTAAAAATGTTGGCAAGAAATGTAAGGGAACTAGTATATTCAACAAAAAGTGTTCAGTTAATGGTTAGTAGAAGAACAAAAGAAAGTTGGTTCATTCGGTTAACAGAAAGTCAAGTACAACGCGACAAAAAGTAAAAAAACATTTCTTACAATAAGTCTTTACTCAATTACTGTAGCTGAGAATGACTGTATTTTAACATGATGAATCTAATAATTGTAACATTTATCCATTATCAATGGATGATTTACAAGTTTAACAATTCTTGATAGATACTATAGAGAGAAAATAGTTATTGCTGCATTTGCAAAAGCACTCAAATCAATAATGAATATATGATTTTATTTTAACAAAATGTATTTAATAATTCATTAATTGTAATATTTATATATCATAAATGCTTGAATAACTTTTATATAAAAAAATAACAACAGTAAACTATATTCAGGAATATAACCTATTAATTTATTATTCATGAAATAGAAATAGAATAGAAAAGTTCGAAGAATTTTTTTACAAATATTTCTTGTCTAACATATTCTTTAAAACGTGAAGTACAGTATGATACTATAAATATTATCATCTAACAGTAACTTGCTATGAGGCCGCCGATGTTTGTTGCTAGGAGCTGGCAGAGTTTCTTGCCCTTTACTTCAAGACCCCAGTGCTGTTTACAAAAACATTTCACAACTCTTTAAGTTTTAATTGATCTTAAAATGTTGCTCAGTCAATGATCTTCAATCAGCAAATTTTTAAAATGCCTATAAACATATTTCCGAGAACGTATAAAATTTCAAATTTGTGAGAAAAACAAAATACCGACCTGAAATCAATGCTGATGGCGTCTGCTCCAAAGTATCAGCAACAGGGACCAGTCATTTGTTTCACTGTAATAAGTGCAGGATATGAACAGGAGCCCGTAAAACAAATAGCAACATGGAATATTAGCTACAACAGCTACAAAGTTTGTTGTGACAGCGATATGCTTAGCTGCACACAAGTGGACTGTTCCTGTTAGTGTTCACTAAAGCCTACAATCGGGATTAGGGGAGTAGAGGGCAAAGATTAGATTGACGGATAGAAAAACATACTGAGGGATAAGACAAAGTCAGAAGGAAATGTTTAATTTATTGAGAGAGATTATCGTTATTGAGAAGGTCCTGAGCGACAAGGTACTACAGACAACAGGATCCCCCCGTGGACAAAGTGTTAAAGTGGATCATTGTACATCCTGCAATAATGATAAAAAGTGATACAGCGACAAACTGTACATATGTATGAATAAAATGATCATGAACATCTTGTGGTTGTCACCTTCCTCTTAGATTAGGGTTCGAATCTTCTATAATCACCTGAACCCATTGTTGCAAATCTCTACTCATTTCAGTCGAAAACGAAAAAAAACGGCATGTTTTTACACTCAAGAAAAAGCCGCCTTCCTGCGAATACACCATTCATTCAGCCATAACAGAGTAACGTGGGCAAAGACGAAAACATCCAACATCTGATCAACAATGTGCCAGTCAGAACGTTTCATGATAAACTGTTTGAAGCTGATTCAAAAGGGTTCTTGCGACAATCCGTTCAGAGCTGATCCAAAAAGGTTCTTGCGACAATTTGTGACCATGAATGAAGCCTGGATTCAACTTAACACTTCCAGCATGAATACGACAAGAGGCATTTGACAACACTTTCACCAGAAAGAGATAAAGACGGTTGTCTTCTTTGACGCCAAGGGTGTCCTGGTAGATTATCTTCTTGGAGGCTAGACAATAAATGGAACATGTCAGGTTGACCTTTAGAGGTATGAGACTAAGCCTAAGAGACCTATGAAGCTGAGGAAATGTGTACTAACATCACTGACACTGTCATTGCTACAAACAAGGGTGGTTTTGAACCTCTTCACAGCCCACCTTTTTCTCCTTTTCTCTTTCAAAATCATGTACAGATCGTTAGCCGGGCCCATTCCGACTTTTAGAAAAGCAAGGAAGAAAACCTCTACGATAACATCCCTCCAACATTGATGACAAAATAGTATAGATGAGGTAGGGGATTCTGTTGAAAATATATGATATGGATATTTTAAGCAGACTTTTATGAGACTCGGGTTAGATGGATCGTTTTATTGTAAAAGTCATGCATGACCTTCCATGACCCATCAACGTGAACTTCACATTGTTGATTTGAGCTGAGTTGGGTTTTGCGTCACATCGGCACTATTCCGGCCATATAGTGACGAGAACACGTTTGCATTAATAAACATTGTAAGTACATACTCGGAATGAGTTTTATTTCAAAAACACATATTCATTACATTGTCATTTAAAAGCAGAAAAAGTAATAGCATCAAATTTAAAGGAAGGCAATTTGTTAGTCACATTTCACAGTTACAATTTATGATAGTTACATTTCACAGTTACAATTTATGATACAGATGAACTTCCCTCGGGTAGTTCACTATCAGATGAGCGCTCACGCGGGAGAACAGATCTTTTAGGTTTGTTGCATCATAATGTGAGTCCCTTGCAGACGATAAGTCCACGCATTCAAGCAGTATATGCTTGATGGTGAAAACCTCATCGCAAGAGACACATGGTGTGTGTGTGTGTGTGTGAGTGTGTGTGTGTGTGTGTGTGTGTGTGTGTGTGTGTGTGTGTGTGTTGGGGGGGATGGGGGTGGGTCCATCCCCATCCGTTTTTCAGCAGATAGTCACGAGTAAATCGGCTGTGGCCAATACGACATCGTCGTAAAATTACCTCATCACGTCTTGACTGACAACCCAAGTAGGTATAACCATTTGTTGGTTTCAGTTCATACAGTTTATTTCTTCCTACTTGAGTGTCCCATCGTTTTTGCATGAGGTCCCGAGTATAGCTTTTGATAGTGGGTTTGAAATCACTGTACGGGATCAGCAGTGGAGATAAGGGCTTGTCAAAAGCTGCTTTTGCTGCAGCATCGGCTTTTGTGTTACCTGCTATGCCGACGTGATCCGGCAACCAGCAGAGGACGATGTCGCATTGGCCAGTAGAGAGGTCGTTGTAATGTTCCAAAATGTCCAGAATGATTGCGTGACTTGAAGTAACATTTTGAAGTGCTTGAGGGCAAGATAATGATTCTGTGAAAAAAGTTTTGGGAATGATTGTGCTGTTGAATATAGGTCAGAGCTGTAAAGATAGCTTTGGCATCGGCAGTGAAAATGGAACTGTTGTCGGGAATCCTAGAGGAGACAGTCTTAGATCCAATGACTGGTAGCACTGGCGACTTGGCCCTCATCCTTGAATCCGTCTGTGAAAATGGATCTTCACATTGATACAACTGGAACGGAGTCAATAACGAGTGTGAAATCTCAGGGCGACTATTATGGCATCACGTCTTCTCGTGCACAACACCGAATGTCGTCGCCTCTGGTTAACTTGTGCTTGACTAAGTTTTTGCAAGGTCTGGGGCTGATTCAAGTGGTGTCGCACTGATGTTACCAGCTCATCCCCAAAGTTTTTGATCGAAGACTGGGGGAAAAAGGAAGGCCAGTCAACGACATCAACACCCTCGTTACGAAACAAGCTGTGAGTCACAACTGCTGCCGTTAGAATGTCATCCTGGACTATGTAACAGCACATCAAGAAAGAAAAAAGAATTACACCCCTAACAATTATTACCAACAATGCGTATGCCAAGTTTCTTATTTTGTTGGGTATGTGTCTATTCCACGTTTGTTTAATGTGGACCTATTTGCTTTTGAACGATCACATATCCGCCTGGAAATACCATCACAGATCTTGTGTTAGGGTTCTGCGTGAGTCTCTACTGACAGGCATACTCATGGACATTGTATGGAGAACGCTGATAACCCTTACTAGCAGAATGTGTCATTACTGGGGGAAAGGTTACCAGAAAGTTCGTCTTTCTGTATTTCGTCATCGATACTGATAAGAAACACCCAGGCAAACTGGATAATGCATTACTTTTTGTTGTTTGTTGAATAGACATTTCCGTGTTAGTTGTGTGCAAATGAGATTATTATTGGGGTTTAATATATATCGGTGTAATTAATAATTTGTAATTAAGGAAATTATTGGCTTTCAACACATTTTCATTGTGATCATGTTGGATTTTTGTCTGATTGTGTGTATCAATTGAGTTCTCCAGACTGTCCATGTTATTTTGGTGTGTAAAGACAGTTATCACAGGGTTTTTATTGTTATTTCTGTCTACTTCTTATGTGTAAATTCTGGTGTCCCCCGTCGTGATATTGCTGGAATATTGCTAAAAGCGGCGTAAAACTAAACTCAGTCAGTCAGTCTTATGTGTAAATACGAGTATTTACTGACTTTTTCCGCGTATACATTTTAATTTTGAGTGAAGATACGACTATTGTAGAGAGTATGAACTGACGTTTTACACATTTTCATTTTGTTGTTATCTGGAGTTACTGAGTGTTACTGAACGATTTGATCGTGTTGAATATGAGTGAGAGGATGAGTTAAGATTTTAGTCACATCGGCAACATTTCGGACATATCATGATTAAAACTAGTTATAGACTTCTAATGATTCAAAATAAATGATCAACATCTGTCAAAGAAGGACAGTAAAGCAACTAGACTATCTGTCTATCTATCTATCTATCTATCTAGCAATTAAATGTAAAACAGTTTGACTATAGAGGATACCCATATAAAACAGGCTATAGATAACCAACCACTGAAGGTAGATCACCATACTAGGGACCATCGACACTGATAAAAAATACAGTACCTTTGCTACCTAGCTAGACCCAGCTAGATTTACACCATTCCTTCAGCCGCTGGCGATTGTAGTCAATTCTAATCACTTTAGCCGCCTTGTTGTCACAAGGAAATACGAGAATGAATGTTTTCGTTGTTATGAGTGGAAATTTGAGAGATACAGAGCTTATTCCATTTCGGGGTTCGGGGGTGTCTGTCACCCATTTTGTACTGGGAAGGTAGCGGGACAGCAGTTGTGTTTGTGTACAAACGTACAATGGGGTCGGCAATTTTGTACACAAAAAATATTTTTCTATAAATATCATACACGGGGTCACTTAATTTGTACTTAAATTATTATTTATTTTGGGGAAGGGGGGGGGATTCGTATTGTAATGCTACTCAATAAAAATCATCATCAGCCCCCCACCCACCCCTAGGCAGAAATTATGAACTGTCCCTTACGCAACAGTTTGAGATGAGGCGGACGAACCAGTGTAGTGTGTCCATTGAATTTGAGGATTGTGAAGATTGAAATTTGAAGAGAGAGCGGAGGTAAGTACTTCAATAACTGTCGAATCTGAACCCTACAGAATCGAAGAATACATCCTTTTTATCATCGACCGATGACCAGCGATTTCCGATCATGATTTCACGTGCCCCCATCCTGTCATGGGACGACAGAGTGACAAAGCTGATTTAACGCAATGAATTGTGTACATGCGACTAACTTGGGATTGCTTGGAAATTGTTTTCATCATTTGGGACAGGAATGTGGCCAAGCGGGTTTTAAAGTGTACGAACATAGATCACCAGCAGTGAAAATGCGGGGAAGCTGTCAGAAAGCAGAATTCGGGTGGTTCAATTTTTGACACTTTTTGAACGATTCAAAAGGACATGAGGGAGTATCAGTGGCATACATTTGGTGTTTCGCCTGAACGTTATCTTGCGAAGTTCAGCATAAAAGGGTCGAAGGTGTGACACTAGGAAATCTTACTAACGTTTAGTCGTAAATTTTGTATAAATAGGGATGTATTTTTACAAGGCTTTAGGAAAGACTACAGAATACCGGGTACTTTCCGCCATGTTAGAAAGCACGCGAGTTTACTGCGCAATTGCGCAACTGACTTCCCTAGCACATATGTTTTGTGTGTGTTGCAGAATCGACTCGACCTTTTATTACTTCGCTATATTAGGGTACTTACTTTTTAGCCCTTGGATATCCGTTACTATCTTCCTTAGTGTTAGTCACGAAATGTCAAGTTCCCGGCGTACAAAATCGTGAGATAACTTCCAGACCCAGACAATAGAATTTTGCCACAATCGAGTTTACTGTTCTCAAACCACGAATAGTGTCGAATCGAAAGTTGTATGCTGCAAGATTTCTTGCTACATTTCCAACACAATTTGACTTTACTATAGCTTCTATCTTTACATACCCGGGCACACTGAATTTCCCAGTACCTAATTTACCGCATGTTTTCCCGTCTCGGTTTCCGAAAAGTCCCTTGTTTCTTAAACATATATAAAGTGTTCTTCTCCAGACCTGTGAAGATCCGGGTTAGAATGTGCCTTCAACAACCCATGCTTGTCGTCAGAGGCGACTAACAGGATCGAGTGGTCAGGCTCGCAGACTTGGTTGACACATGTTACCGGTTCCCAATTGCGGAGATCGATGCTTATGTTGTTGATCGCTGGATTGTCTGGTCCAGACTCGATTATATACAGACCGCCGCCATATAGTGGAATATTGCAGTGTGGCGTAAAACTAAACTTACTCACTCACTCACTTTGTCTTCAGATTACTTAAAAACATCTCACGATCACATATTCCGAACGCCGTGTGGTAGCTGTAAACTTCCAAAAATGGCTGTTACTAAACTATGACGTAGACGTAAATTGACCAATCACTGAGCACTTACCTGTCAGCGCTTTCCGATTTTAATGGTTATTTTGATGCTGCCTTATTTTTTCGAATTTTATAGCTCGTTCTTTCCTATAGTAGGAAGTGCACGTGACACTGAACAATATGCCTGGTAGGTATCCGGTATTATTACTCACCTGTTGAAGATCCCATTGTTTAATAAATCTACAGTGTTATTACAAATCATGTTATAACATTACGTGCTGCAGGACACACTCTTTAGCTTTATGACATCACACACGAACCTATGGCATCATAATGCGCACAGCAACAATAGCATAGTCACGATTCATGTATACAAAATCATATTTTGCCATTAAATGTTCCTCTGTCGCGTGTAATAGCATTTATATACTAAAATAATATGTTGTTGGTTGAAGTCAGTTGGTTCTGTTTTCATACCCCTTGTTTATTTCAAGAAAATCAAATTAAATAGACTAATGTTGACAATCATACATGAAATGTATTCATATGTATGACCCCTGTTATGACGGCGTAAAGCACACGTTCTGTTAGTTGAATTCTGACATATTATTTTAATGTTGCGTGAGTAAATCCTTAACGATGTCCCGTGTAATACCACAGTACCAGGCTTTCTGATAAGTTAGATATCGTTTGTCTATGCTTGGGGCTGTACATTGTAATTGAGTTTGAATATTCTTGTGATAGAATGTAATATGATATTGAGGTTGAGGTAATATGATATTGTGGAGGAGAAAATAATATAAATAACAGTTTTACTTACAGACCAATTTACAACCAACATACACAAAGTGTAGAGTATAACAAGATATAAAGCAGACACCATATCTGACCTGAAAACGTGTCCTGGATGACAGGAATATGTATCATTCTAGCCTTAGTTAATTGGAAAACTATATCATGAAGGTGTCTTGACAGAAGAGAAGACACAAAGCGATTTTATCACCAATACAGGATCAAGTCGAAACGATATGCATTGATAGACTGAAACATATTGTGTATCTATCAATTGATGTTACTAACCCTGAGCAACTATGTATCAATGATTGAAACTGACACACATTTCAATGTTCCTTGAGATAACTGCATGTATCTACAGTAAAAAGATATAACACAATAGCTGATCTCTCTAACAAAGGTTAAACTGAAACAATAATCAATAATAACATAATTCAGAAAAAACACAGCCTTGTTGAAATAAAAAATCGAGATTCCGTCCTTGATCACCTGACATGATTTCAATGATCACTAAATTATTGTTCAAAGTAACAATCAGCCGAAACCCAGCCATACTGCAGCAGCATGCACATGTCTACCATATACTGTTTCACTTTCATCTTCAATAATAGTATTAAAAACATCCTGTTCTCCAGTTATTTGCCCATGGTACCTAGTATGGTGATCTACCTTCAGTTGTTGACTATCTATAGCCCATTTTTATACTGTAGTGTCCTAATTTGAAATCTAATTTTAGAGAGAGTTGCTAGTTTTATTCCTTGGTACTGTGATATTCTAGTTGATTTTACTGTCCTTCGTCGGCAGGTTTTTATAATTTATATGTATTTATGGTGAATTAATAACTTGTTTATCGTCACGATATGGCTGAAACATTGCCAGTGTGACTTAAAAACTCAACTCACTCACTCACTCCAGTTATTTGCTTAAACTAAACTTTAATGGGCATTGATCCCCAGCGATCTAATCACGTCTTCTAGATGCCAGGTGGCCGGTCCCTACTCCCTCGACCGTGACGGATATATCCCAAAACTTCCACATCCCAATACTACCACATATTGTAAAAAAGACAACTCCTCATCACCCCTCTTTACGTAATAGGATAGCCCAGGAAGTGCACTGAACTGAAACAACAGATAATGATACATCACCTGACTTAGCAGAGTAGAGATTTTAGTAGAGAAGAAAACAGTTAGTTAATAAATCTGAAATATATAATATATAAATTCGTATTTCATGTAGGCAAAAATTGTACATTTTGTTTTATTTTACCCTTAAATGTTGTTGATTACGTTCATAGTATTCTGAATATACAAAACATACGTTAGGCAAGCTTAACGAACATTTAATGTACATGTATATTAGAATATATGTAGTTTTACAATATAACATGGCTAATGAGTTTTGAAATTTTATATTTATTGCTTAAAAGTGGCCAACAGGCCAAACAATTCCTTTCAGTTCTGATTTGCAAATATATAAAGTAATCTGTAGCAAATGGCATGAACACAAAAATCAATTTTAATTACATAAGGAAGCTGATAAAGTTACGGTATGGACATTTGCATTAAATTGTTATGGTAGTGACACAATAACAGTAGTGACATTTTAATAGTAGCCAGTTTTATATGTTAACTTTAAAAGATAATTAAATGAAATTTGTCAATCAGATATTTCAGAATGTTTAAAGAATATGTAATAGGCAAAAGATTTACCTATGGATGTCCCTGTCATGTAAAAAACCCAGGTAAAGACTGCATGTTGCGGCTGTGACACTGACAGTATGCGGGTGCGGGTGAAGTCTTGGACACTATAGGACATAAGTTCTGTATAAATGTTCTACATAGACTGTTATGTAACTAGAAAAGCTATGCATTTTTGTCAATAACCCTGACTTAATAAAATATATAACTTATTACTATTCATTCGGTTAAACAATTACAGACTGAGGTAATCAGCATGCTAAAGTGTGTGCCGTCAACCAGAAATGTTATAAACTCTGGAAGTTTTGGGATGTGGATGTTTTGGGAGGATACCACTTCCACATAAACAATGTTACAATAAAAATGTGGATGCCAATCAGATGCTGTTATTTGAAAATGCCCTCGATAGTTCTGGTCTGATTGTAATAAAGTATCCCAGCAGTGTAAGCTTTTTCGGAATTATCAGCTGAGATAATTGTTGTTTTACAACATTGATCAAAGGATTAACCGATAACAGGCTGATTGATTAAATACTTTTACCTTGCATAGTGGATTTGTCAAAAGGTAGTGTTCATGTATGTAGATTTACTAACGCACACTGAATACACCCTGCACACAAGTATTCTCATCAGTCATGTATATTGCCGCAATACATTGGTGTTGATGTAAATTCTTCACATTGGTATGCTCATCAGTCCTGCAAATTGTCTCCTTTATCAGTCTGACAGATTCGTGTAATAATAGAATATACTATAGTTATAATGGCCGCGTACCGATCCGACGGATGAGTGATGAATAGAAAATGAGAGTTCTACGCCAGCTATCGATGGAGCCGAGCTAATTATAGAAACACGTCATTACAAGGTGTGGTGCAAGACACCAGGCTTTTTAAAAAAAATGAAGTTCCCCAAGTCTTAAGATAGCGAGAGCTGGCTTGTGACTACGATTAGGGGAGACGACTTGTAATCCAGCATTTATTCATAATTAATTGTTTAATGACCATAGTCAAGCAAGGAGACGGGGTTTGTTTGTGAATCAGAATAACGACACAGTCTGGGTGGTAGTGAGATTGTCATAGACCGAACGTGATTGTATGTATGTAAACAGGAAAACTCCGTCGCAAGTTGTTGGAGGCAATACTTAACTTATTAAAAGAGATATCAACGTATGGACTGTTATATTTCAGTGGACTGTTATAGATCAGGGTCATA